CACACGACGGAGCCCTTTACGGGGTGACCACTCGTGGTGCGAGCTCGCTCCTGGCCACAGCTGTGGGTCTCCTCCATTCTCCCATTCTCCGCACGAAGGAGGATCTTTGAAGTAAGGCATGGCTGCGGGACTTGCTTTGGCCAATTAAATGTGAATATAAGTTTCTAGCATCACCTCCTGGTAGCAGTCCTTGCTAGTGTGACCCCTAGCCAGCTGCTTGGGCCGCCTCTCCATGGAGGAAGCATGCCTGGATCTGGAGGGGCCCCCTCAGCTGCTGTTTGGTGAGGGGCTGCCCTGGAGGGCTGCCCGGACCCACAGCGGGCTTTGCACAAGCAGGAAATACATCTTTATTTTAAGCCGCTGAGATCTGGGGGTGGTTTGTTACCACAGCATAACCTCACATATCCTAACACATATCCTAATACTGAACCTTTTTTCACTAAATAAATAACAACTATTTAACTCTTAAAACCCCAGGATAAGGGGCGCCTGGGTGGCATAGTCCGTTAAGCTTCTGACTCCTGATTTTGGCTCAGGTCAGGAGCTCCTGGTTCAGGAGATTGAGCCCTGAGTAGGGCTCCGCGCTGATAGTGTGGAGACTGCTTGGGCTTCTCTCTCTCTCCCTCTCTCTGCTCCTCCTTTGTGCGCTCTCTCTTTCTCTCACACAAAATAAACTTTGAAAGAATCCTTAAGGATAAATAGAACAAACCCAATTACAGTGTATTTTCCCAGCATCATTATTAGTCTTCAGTAAATCAATAGGGGGTTAGAGGATTTGAATAGAGTAATATCAAAAGCAAATCAGACAATGGGTATCTGGGTGGCTCAGTTCATTAAGCCCAACTTTGGCTCAGGTCATGATCTTGATCTCATGGTTTGTGAGTCTGAGCCCTGTGTGGGGCTCTGTGCAGATGGCTCAGAGCAGAGCCTGGAGCCTGCTTCGGATTCTGTATCTCCCTCTCTCTCTCTGCCCCTCCCCTGGTCATGCTCTCTATCTCTCTCTCAGATAAACAAACAAACAAACAAACAAACATTTTTTAAAAAAAGCAAAATGGACTAAATGCTTACAGAATTTCAAATGGTGCAAACATATTCATCTTCGTAAAGTATTCATGAACTTTTACAAAATTGATTAAAACATAGGAATGAATAATTTAATAAACCAGAAAGTATATAAGCATGGAGTCTAGCCTCAATCAAACTAAAGTTAATATAAATTAAGGAAAAAATTAAATCCCACTTGGGATTATCAGGGGAAAAACATCAAGTCAACAGACTACAGAGAAGATAAAAGTAAGAATGACATATATCAAAATCTTGGGATATGAATGCAACCATACTCAGAAATAAATGTTCAATCACAAATTTAGAAAAGTACAGAGAAGTGTTAAGGAAACCAATATGAATAACATTATTAAGTAAAAAGTACACAAGCAAAAATATACAGACTCGAAAATAGCAAAAGGGGTGCCTGGGTGGCTTAGTTAAGCATCCGAATTTTGATTTCGGTTCAGGTCACGATCACACAGTTCATGGGTTTGAGCCCCTTGTTTGGCTCTGTGCTGATCATGTGGAGCTTGGGATTCTCTGTCTCCCTCTCTCTCTGCCTCTTCGTTTTCTCTCTCCCTCTCTCTCTCAAAAATAAATAAATTAAAAAAAAAAGAAAATAGCAAAATAATGGAATTAATTAAGAGCCTGCATCCTGGTCTCATGAAAAAGGGAAAAACATTAATGAAATAGATGACTTTCTGCTCCTCACAAATCGGAATACTTTGCTGGCAAACAGTTCCAGGCTCCAAAGCTCTTTCTGGGTGGGGGGAGGGGGCACAGGACTTACAGGAGGGTACAGACGACGACCCAGACTCACGGCAGGTCAAAGTGACTGCAGACGGTGTGATGCCAGAATCTGGAAGAATCAGGAAGGACTGATCTTAATAAGGTGCCAGAGAGAAACACTCCCCAGCCTCGGCCTAGGGACTGAGGCACCAGCAAGAGACGGGAGCGGGGAGGGGAGAGAGGAGTTGGGCTATTTCTCCCCTTATTTCTCCCTGTTTTGGCAACATGTCCTACACTGTGGCGCAGCTCCTGCACCCCTCCGCCCAGCTCCGGCGCGGGGACAGCTTCCCCCCTGCATCCCAGGGGAGAAACCGGCTTCCCAGTGGGTCTGTGGTGGCATCAGCCGCACCTCTGTGAACAGTCCCTTCAGTGAAATATCTTCGTGTGGACTGAGCTAGATTCCATTTCTTTAATTAGATAGATAGATAGAGAGAGAGAGAGAGAGAGAGAATCCCAAGCAGGCTCCATGCTCAGCACGGAGCCCGCCATGGGGCTGGATCCCACGACCCCGGGGTCATGACCTAAGCTGACATCAGGAGTCAGGTGCTCAGCTACTGAGCCACCCAGGTGCCCCATCAAATTCCATTTCTGATGGGACCCTCTGGCTGTGGCTCCCGCCTTCCTCAGACTGCCCCTGACCACCTGCCTGGGCTCTGAGCCTGTGCAGACGTTGTGGCCTCTCTGGTCACCCACAGACACGCCGCTGCTCCTGTGCAGCCCATTTTGGGCATCGCTGTCCCAGAAGGACCTCCCACGTCTTGCGTGGTGGTGGGGGGAGGGTAGACCCCTGGAACCACGTGCCTGGCAGAAGTCCAGCTTCCGTCACCTTCACCCCGCCCCAGCTGCCGTGCCAGCCCCGCGGGGGAGAGAAGCGCCAGGCTCCCCAGGCAGCGTGGGGCGTGATGTGCTCATGGCGAGGGAGGAGGCCGACACAAGACCAGAGGACTGGACGCTCTTGGGTAAAAACCACCTGAGGAATCTCTGAAAGTTTCCAAGCGTTTCCTGTTATTTGCGGAATACGCGTCAATTCTTCATGGTTTTTCAGCAGAAATTCCTTGCCAGGGTGACACGTCCTTGTCACTGCTGAGGAAGCAGCCACCGGACTTCAGGCTCGGATGGCAAAGGAGGACTGGCTCTCTAGCAACATCCGAAGCCAAAAGGTTGAGGCCCTGGCTTCCACCTGGTGGGGATTGACGTTGTCAAGAGTCGTGAGAATTAGCCGGCTAATTCATGGAGTCAGAGCTCCTTGGTAGGATAGCGTGCGTAGCTTGGGCTCGAGGGTCCTGGTGGCCCTGGGTTACTGGTACCCCACATACTCTCCCCGGGGAAGCCCTTTAGCTTGGTGACCCCCCTGAATTCCAGAAGGCCCCATCCTCACACCTTTGGGCTTTGGGGGGATGTGCCTGCCTCACCAGTGGCAGAGCCCGCAGCGTACCCCCTGCCTTCCTGCTCCCCTGCCTCTGCAGCCCCCTTCAGCGTCCCCTGGCATGGGTCTGCAGATGCGCAGTGAACTGAGGCACTGGTGACGCCCGAGTGCTGGGACCCCTCACGTCCCTGACATGGGCATCTGAGTTCTGAGCCACACAAGTCGATTCAGGCCAAGGAAGAAAGCCGTGCCCTGACCAGTGAGCCCAAGGAAGGGTTCCTCGCCGTCCCCTGGGGCAGAGGCGGAGGTTGAAGGCAGGTCCCCAGCTGGGATCTGTCTTAAAAGCAGTTTTCTCACGTGGGCGAGGTCACTGTGTGGGCCTGAGAACTTGTTGCTGGAGGGAAGAAAGGCCATGGAGCTCACAGGCCAGCAGAAAGGCCGGGTACCCTGGCCACCTTCCCCACATACCAGGCCTGCTGACCCCATGACCTCGGGGCCACACTGCTCCCGACTCCCCTAAGCAGGGTCCAGGCCACCTGGTGTAACCAGCCCGATAGGCTCTTTTTGTCCCTGCTTTCACCAGACAGGACAGAAGACAGACGGGGGCAAGTTGCACCAGAGTGCCACCATACCAAGGATGGGGTGAGATTCTCTGGGAATTACTTTACTTTCCTGCATGTTTCAGGAAAAAGATTCTAAATATTCATGCTTTAACATACAGGCTCCATGGGGCAGAGGGATCATAATTGTTAGCAGCTTCAAGTGAAAAGAAAAACCACACCCCCTGGCAAAGCACAGCTCGCCGTGCAGATAGGAGAGCTAACGCCTTCTGGTTCTCTCTGGGGGCCTTGGCCGCAGGTCTCTGTTGACCATGACATTCAATATGAGATAACAGCTATACACCGTATGCTTGCGTGCGCTCAGGTTCACGAGGTAACCTGAGCAATTCTGCAAGATATACGGAAACCTAAATGTCCCCAGAACAGAAGGGAAGTTTCCCGTTCTTTCTCTCCTGTGGTCACAGAAAGGAGGAGGAATAGAATTACAGGACCCTCGGTCAGCTAAATTCAATTTTAATTTAATTCATGGCATCTGACTTCCCAGCTGTGAAGTGCTCTGACCAGAGCTTCCCGTCTGGCTGACCTGCAAAGACAAAATCCACACAGCAAGTCCTATCCTGCCCGGGGGAGACTCAGAGTCAGGTGATCAGGGGGCCGGGGGCTGGCGGGGGGGAGAGGGGGACAGAAGTCTGTACTTTGAGCAAGGTCCCCAGGGGAATCTGATACAAATAAATCCGGAATCAGGAACCTGGCTGTTAGATCTATTTAGAGGCCAAAGCCTTGTCTTCACATCCTCCCTCTTAGACTAATTTCTGAAAAATAAATGTAGTAAGTAAATAAAGACAGTTTTCAAGACGTTCATGGAATGACTTTTTTTTTTATATTTTTCAACTAGTTAAGACAAAAACATTACAATGATTGACTTCTTTCATTTAGTTACATAAATAAAATTTTTATAAATATCTCTTTATAAACAATATAAATAGCTTTACAACATAAATACATTTATGCATGACATGAATTTACAAACAGCAATGTTTTACAGCTGGTTTTGTCAGTCTCTTAAAAACTGTCCCTTGTCATCACGTGGGTGTAGGTGTGTGTGTTTCATGTATATAATATATATATAATATATAACTTTTTATTTTTCATTTTCAAAAAAAAAACAAACAATAAAATCATACCCCTCTTCCCAAATAATAATAAAACAGCTGGTGTTGTGTATTCCCAGTACCAGGAAAAAAAAAAAAGAAAGGAAATGTAAAAGCCACATTGCGTTGGATGCTTCCAGATGCTGTGAGGCTGATGACCAAGAATGACCTCAGCAAAACGGAGCAAGTTCCCGATCCTGAAACACAGAGGGGACACGGGATGCTTAGTTCTGGCCCCTTAGCTGAGAAGGCCCAGGAGCCTGCAGGACAGTCCCTTTCCACAGCGTCATGAAGCAAGGTCAAGGCCGTCCTATGAAGGGAAAGGGGTCCCTCTCTGGCCCTCGCCTCCTGCTGTGTCCTTGGCACGTCCTGCCCCAGAATGTCTGCCAGCCCTCCTTCCCCCCAAGTCTACCTGCAGGCCTTACCCTTGGCACTGGTGAGACACAATGAGGGAAAGAGAGTGGAGATGCCCTTCTCCCTCTTCTGCTACAACACAAACCCTCAGTCAGGTGCCCGCCTCGGCTTTCTGTGTCTGCCTGACAGTGGTGGGGACGGGGAGACAGACATCTGAGGAGCTGGGAATTCTGGGCTCAAATCCCAACTCTGACATTCACTTCCTGGATGGCCCTGGAGAGCTTTGAGTATCGCTTTCCTCATCCATAAAATGGGATAATAGCCACCTCCCAGGGCCAGCTTTAAGATTCAACAGGGGGCCACACGTTGGGCACCGGCAGAGTGTCTGGATCACAGCTGCCACTCATTAAAGAGCACTTCCTTCTCCAGCTGGCTTCACCTCAGAAAAGGTCTGCTTCGGATGCAGAGGGAGCGGGGTGGGGGTGGGGGTTCTCATGCCAGTCCTGGGGCAATGAGTGGTTTGCCGGGCAGAGTCCTTTGAGGAGGGCTCTACCAGCTCTCAGCTAGTGGGCATGTAGGTGCTCTGGAGCCCGAGGGAGGAGCCCTCCTGAGGTGGTGCAGTGCCCTCCCACAGGACAGCACATGCAGAGGGACCCTGGGCTTCAACGCTTGATGAACTGTCCCTCCACTCCCGTCTCTGGCCGCCCCATGTGTTTAAACAGATGATAGATATCTGTGATGTCCCTGGGGCTCCTGGGCAAGGCGTTCATTCAGGCATCGGCCACACCCCATCTCTGTCATTAGAATTTCATAAACAAGACTATAACCATCAGCGACAGTCATTATGGAGGCTGCTTAGAGGCAAAGTCAACTCCTGGGTGCAGAAATGGCCACAGCTTGGGACGAGTTTTCATTAACATGAAAAATCTCAGCTGTCTTTCTCTTCTAAGTGGAGACAGTGAGACACTCTGAGCATCTCCACTAGGGGCTGCAGGCAACAGGCAGAATGCCTTCTCCTGAGGGTGTAGGGGGACAGTGGGGCTGAGAAGGTTAAGGGTGTTGGAGGTGGTTGTGCAGCTCAAGGACAGAACTTCAGGAGGTTGACACACTTCAGCCTAGTCATGGGGGCTAAGAAGTCCTAGCAATCTGGCCTCCTGCCCAGCACCTCCCCACCCACTGGGCCATCACCAGGTACCCCCCCCCCCGACAGCCACACCCAAGAACAAGGAGCCCAGGGGGAGGTGCTTCCCAGGCACTTTCCAGGCCCTCTTCCTCGTTTCGTCTCCTGCCAACCCACTGGATAACATCTGTTTAGATTTGAGAGTTTGAGCTTGGTGCTTAAATCACAATGTGAACTGAAAATGTGAGGCTTGTGGCTCCATGTCTTCCCTGTTTAGACAGGAAAGATGAGAGCAAAACCATTTCAGTGGAAGCTAGTAGAGGCTGGGCCCCAGGTGCTAGAATGATCTTTCCCTGTGCAGGGGGGAATCAAGACCTCAGACAAAAGAAGACCTTGCTGAAATGGGGAGGAGCACACAGCTCCGTCAAGTCCGGCCACACGGAAAGAAAACCCTGCTAAGACCCAGGGCAGGTGCAAGAGGAGTGGCCCCAAGCTGCGTGGGACATGATCTCTGGCCATTGACAAACATTTTTAAGAGACTCTTTGGGGGTGCTGTGGGTCCCAGATCACCTTAGGTTGGCACCTGGCTCTCAAGTTGCTCATGAGTTAATCTGGAAGAGGTAAATAGGTTCCTAAGCTACCATGTCTCAGGTGAAAAAGCGTTCTGTGCTGTGAAAATGGCTTAGGCAATGTGTTGGATGTTTTCAAAGAGGGGCGCTCTCGTTGCCCTTTGGAGGAAGACAGTGTGGACACTGACAAGGCTTCTTGGGTGAGAGAGCAGCCTCCCCATGGCTTGGAGTGGGGGGTGGGACAGACAGTTTGTGGGACCCGGAATGGTACCAGCCAGGCTGCAGGGAAAGGCTGGAAACCAGCAGGAGTAGATCCCAAAGTACTTGAATGTCAATTTCAGAGGCGGGCTCTGTTTTTCCCTGGGAACTGATGAGCAACAGGAAGCGGAGTGGGGAGAGGGAGAGGATCTCTGCAACATTGCCAGGATGCAGCACCAGGCAGGGGCTGAAGGTAGCACAGCGGGTTTCCAGCCCTAAAGAGGGGTAAGGACACAACGCCAGAAATGTTGGGGACGTGGGGAGGTTGGTGAGGAGCTCACTTTGGGACATGGGTTCAGATGGGGGCATCATCATCATAATAATTTTAGTCTTTTTCCCTGCTCTAAAATAGTGCCACAAACATTGAGTTTATTGAGTTTCCTTCCCGAAGTCACGCAGGCAGCAAGCAGCATCAGGACCCTGGACAGACCAGTTTGCTCACAGTCAGGCTTAGAGAAAGGACAAGAATCAGAACGCCCTGGGGTGAAAGGACGACCCGGTGATACCAACAGAGGACTATTCTGTCTACAGGCCTATAGGACCATATAGTCTGTCCTACTTTAGGGACAACGGTCCTAGGAAGCCGCCCTGACTCCTGGGCTGCCTGGTGCCTGAGCACCGTGGTACAGTGGCTGGCAGATAAACTTAACTCTGCGCTTGTGTGTCTGTCGTCTGCTCCCACAACCCCCTGACTCCCCTCAACGTGCCCAACGGCGAACTGGGTCCAGGGCTGCTGCTTTGCTTCGGGTCCCGGTGTGGCCAGGACCCCACCGAGCTGTCTCAGCTTCTCTAAAGGAAGCTAGAAGGGTTCATCCCGACCTGGCCAAAATGCCCTGACCACTTTATCCCTCACTTTTTTCACGTGTAAAATGGGACGATAAATAGGGGTGGGGGCAAACGCCTCGCGCGCGCGCGCGCACTGGATCTGGTGCCAGGATCGCCTGGCTCTCCTCCAAAGGTCGGCTGGGAGGCGGGCCGATCCCGGCGCCAGGGGATCGGAGAAGAACCCACCTGCGGGCGGGGGGTTCCGGCTGGGGTCTGGCGGGCGCCGCGGGGGAGCTGGGCGTGTACAAACTCCGGGCGCCCCGGGTGGGTGGTACTCACCGCCGCCAGGGGTCGCCGCACTAACATCCCAAGCCGCTCATGGAGCCGATCCGGTCCAGCTTGAGGCCGAAGCAGCCCCTGGACAGGATCTTCTTCTTGCCTCCCTTCTGTTTGCGCCCGTTGGAGCTCTCGCTCAGAAGGCGGACCAACACCGTCCGCGACCTGGTGTCCGCGCGCAGGTCCTGAAGTCGCGACCGGTTGGCGCCGCCACCGCCGGTAGTTTTGTCGCTCCTCCTCAGACCGCCGCCCGCAGCCTGGGACTCGGCCAGCTCTTCTCCCGGCGTAGTTCGCGGGACCTGTCCGAAGGGAAGGGCGGGCAGGTGAACGGCCGCCCGACGGCCGCGCGAGGTACGTTGCGCGACCCCTGAGGCCCCAGCCCCGCGGCGCGCCCGCCAGCGCGACTGGTCCCTTCGGAGCCCTGACGCGCCCGCATCCACCTGCCACGCAGCCGCCGCTGTCCGCTCCTGCCCGGAGCCCCTTGCCCTCCCCTCCTTTGCCCTCTGACCGACTGGCCACATTGGGGCAGGGGCTCGGCATCTGTCGAGGGTCTCCCGAAGCTGGGGACGTAGACCCCCTGAGTCGGTTTCGAGGGCTTTCCGGCACTCACCCACGCACGTCTCAGAGCAGAGGGCCGCTTTCCCACCCTCTGCTCCCCGCTGTGCTCCGCGTCCTCCGAGGGCCCCAGCCCTCCCGCGGTCCCTCACAGCCTCGATGGCCATGCACTAGCACCCACCTTCGCTGGCGCCCCGGGCTTGGCTTCAGAGGGCCGGAGCGAGAGTAGCGTGAGCAGCAGGGCGCAGGCCAGCAGCTGGGAGAGGTGCATGGTGCCGGCAGGGTCGAGCGGCGCAGACCCGCAGCAGCGAGGGCGCACGGGGCCGGCGGGCAGACGGGCAGGCGAGCGCCGAGCAGGCTGCGGCGTGGGCGCGAGTCCCAGTGCTGCGCGGCGCCGGCTGGGTGCGCTCTGAGCCCGCGGCTCCGCTCGCGCCTTTATAATCCAACCTGCCGCTGATGTCATCCTCCCGCCCACTCGGCCGCCCCGGCCAATGGCACGCGCGCCGAGGTCCGGGAGGGGGCCGCGGGGGCTCCCCCTTTGCCCCAACCTACATCCCACCCCCCGAGGGATCCCGCTGCACCGCCAGCCCTCTCCCGCTGCACCCGCGGCTGCAAAGCGGCGCGCACAGGGAACTCCATTTGCAGCGAGCGCGTGCCAGGCATGCCAAGCGTCGGCGCTCCCAGTGCCCTGCGCGCACGCTTGGACCTCAACACACGCGCTCTCCCTAGAAGGAATCAGTTTCCCTCTTTGCAGGTGGAGAGACAGGCTCAGAAGAATTAAGTCGTTCGTCCAAAGCCACAGTTCCCAGAAAGTGGGCACAGCCCGAAATCCACGCAGATCGATGTCTTGTTGCCAAACTCTTTCCTGGGCACCAGACAGGCTCAGGCCTGGGGCTGCGGCTCCACCTTTCGCCTACTCGGGAGTTCAGATTGCACCAAAGTCTTTTTCAAGTTGGGGAGGCAGAGGATGGGGCGGAGGTCGGGGCGGGAGGCGCAGGAAGAGCGAGGTTTGCCGGGGGCCGCAGGGGGGAGCGCAAGTCCTACACTGGACAGTGAGAGCTTTTTTTTTTTTTGCCTGAGGGTGTGTTTGAGAGTGAACCGCGAACGACGGTGGCTAAGAGGGCCGAGATACTGGTGCCGGCGTGCGCAAGTAGCATCCCTGTATCGGTCACCGTGGCTCTAAGCTCGCGCTTAGCGTGGGCCTGCCGCGCGGAACCGCCCGAAGTGTGACCCGGCGGAGAGCTTCCTTGTGCGCTCACGGGCGCGCACCTGGCGCTGTCTGCACCCACGCGAGGAACCGCAGGGCGAGCATGTTCTCTCGCTGTCCTGTGCACCTGCACCGGCTGGGGAGAGAGCTTAACTAGCCTGGAGCCCTGTCTGGCTTCCGTGAGCAGTGACAGTTGATTGTCTTTGCCTTTTCAGACTTCGTTAGGTCTCTGCCGAAGCTGTAGCGACAAAGCCATGTATACTCGCCGCTCAGAACTCCCTCTCCTTGGGGAGGGTGTGTTGGTTCCTCGGACTCTGAGGAATCCCTTTGGGATGAGCAGCAGAGGCAGGGAGCTGGGCACCTCAAGAACTGAGTGAAGCGTAGGACTGTATGATTCCCAAGCCACCCGCAGGACTCTGTTGGAGAGCAGAGAACAGGTGCGTGGGGGTTGTCCCTAGGCATGAAGACCACAGCCACATGCAGGTGCCTGGAGGAGTCTTTTCAGGGAGAGGAAACTGTGCCTCAGGCAGAGGGTGACGGCAGTTAGGAAGGGCAGGGGGAGGGGGTGCCTGGGTGACTCAGTCGGTTCAGCATCCGACTCTTGATTTTGGCTCAGGTCATGATTACCGGTTCATGAGTTTGAGCCCGGAATCAGGCTCTGCGCTGACAATGCAGAGCCTGCTTGAGGTTCTCTTTCCCTCTCTCTCTGACCCTCCCCTGCTCGCATTCTCTCTTTTAAAAATAAACATTAAAAAAATAATGAGGGCAGAGGGAAAATCCGGTGCCATGTGGATGGCTCCCAGAGTCCATCTTGTGCCTAGAGGCAGAGACAATAGCACCACCATTGTTTCAAGCTCCCCTTCCCACCTGGCACTCTGAAACTGCACACCCACTGAGCCCAAGTTCCCCTTGTTTAGGAAATAACTGACAATGGGCCCTGAGTTTGGGATAGCAGAATTTCTGAGTCTAAAAGAGGATCCAGATGTCCAATGACAGGACATCTTTTGGGAGTTCTGGTGAGTTGATTCACCACGTCCATGCAGGCCCCCACCCCCACCCCCTGCCGAGTGCTGCTCCGTGGTACCATAGAGTGGCACCACTCTTTCAGTCGAGGAGTAAGGAAGAGGAGCCGGAAGGAGGAAGAGGGAGGGATTTCCAGGTGAGTGATGGAAGTCCTCTCTCCTCTTTGGCAACTGATCAAAGTGTAATGTTACCAATCTGGAACTTGCTTCATTTATACATATTTAAGGAGCTGAGCAGATTGAGTCTAGAGCCAGTCACTGAGCTCATTTCCAGGGGACAGCAGCTACCTCCTCTGAAACCCCTTATTAAGGACAGGTTGGAAGCTTCTGGTGCGCCTTGGTCACCTCCTTCTGTCTGAATGTCTGTTCTTCAGGCTGCTTCTTCCTGTCTTTTGTGTCCCTTGGATGTACTTAGTGACAGCTGGGTAACTATCTAAGTCTCCCCACTCTTTGGGCATTGAGACTATTTTAAATAAATGGACCCCACCCAACCCCACCCCAGTGTGTACAGAGCCAACACCCTGGACTCTAATTCTCCTATTCAGAAGTGGAATCTTCTGGTGAGCCCTCACTTTTGACCGCTGGGGCAGACCAGATCCTGGAAGAGTTACCTGCAGAGTTAGGCTTCCCTGGGGTGGGCTGTGGAGCCGCTCCTGCTTAGCTGGGGTCTGGGAGGTGGCGTGGATAGAAGCTGGACGACTAGGCTGGAGAAACTTCAAGAAAGGAGGTAGTCAGCATGAGACTGCCTTGGGCTCCTCCCGCAGCAAGCTGCAGAGGACGCTCTCTCCCTCTTGGGTCTAGAATGGGGACTCAGGTCCCTCCTTCCTGCTTTTCCCTCATGAGGGTCTGCTTGTTTCTGCTCTGGCCCAGGGGCCAGGCCTGGGAAAGCTGGACAGCGAGCAGCTGAACGGGAGCTGTTGGTGGCAGTTTGTGGAATGCTCAGTGTGAAGACTCCTGATGGCGAAGGACAGAGAAAAAGCCACTGGGCCTTGGGAGTCTGAGGGTTCTGTAGGGAATCCTATCATGTGTCATTTATGCCCCCACGGATTCCCTAAGTGTCCACTGAGCACCCAGGTAGCCTGTGGATTTGCATCCCTGCAGGGAAGGAGTCCAGGAAACAGACACTAGGTTTGTAGGCTGAAAACGACCACGGTGGGGAGGGAGGGCAGCTCTGCCAGCTTGGGCTAGCTGGGTGGGCTTCCTGGAGGGGAACAGTCTGTGCAGAGCAGGTGGTGGCGGGGGGGATGGGGGAGACCCAGCAGGTAGGAGGACAGACAGGATAAGGAAGGAAACCTGCAAGGAGAGCAGCCCTTCAGGCTAACCATGTAGTGCGCCCATACTTAGAGGTATATAGCGACCTCGCCAAAGGGAGACAGGACAGCAGGAGGGCAGCCTGTGACCCCGCATGCCCAGACTGGGGGGGCGGGTGGAGGAGGGAGGGGACTTCAGGTAAGAGTATCCAGAGGAGACGGGCTTGGGAGAGAGGCAAGTCAGCCAAGGGAGGGGCTTGTCTGGCAAGGGTGAGGACGGAAAGCAAGCTTGGGGTGCATGAAAGGGGAGGCAGAGGGAGAGTGGTCAGTTGTGGGGAGGCACAGAGAGGGGGCAGGGGTTCGGGAACGCCAAACCCCAGGCATCAGAGAGTCACCCTCTCCTCCCTCCTGGGCCTCTGCAAGAAAGATGGGGAGAGGGAGAGAAAAGACTCCCTTCCTGTGGGCCCCTTTTTTCCTTTTTTTCCTCCACGAAGGCAAGGCGAGACCCTTGCACAGAGGGCGCCCTTCCTTGGAACGGTTGGTGTCCCCTCTGCTAGCAGGACCTGATGGAACATGAAAGGGGCCTTGATGAATATTCCTCCAGTGACACAGGCACACAAGGGCTTATTTGAGGCTGGGAAGGAGTGATTAAGACCAGATTGCCCAGGGGGTGGGAACTAGCTCCCTGCGGAACAGCGCCCCCTCCTGGCCCCCGGGGCAAAGCGGGAGGATTCTCAGGCACACAGAGGAAGGGAGGGATCCTCAGCAGCCCATCTGTTTTCTCTGCAGTTATTTCATCCCAGGGGCCTCCTTCCAGCTGCATAACTTCCCAGGGAGGACACTGAACAGGCGGCGAACAGATCTTACGGAGGCCGGGCAGGGAAATGTCAGCGGGACCCCGGCCAAGTCCCATCACTGCTCTGGGCCTTAAGTTTCACCACCTGTAATTGCAAAAAAGCCGTCCTTACCTCCTGGACGGGGGCAGAGTGAATCAGGAGGCCTGACTAGAGGCTTCCAACCGCGAGACAAAGGCAGGGCGAGTAGCTGGAGCAGAAGGGGAATCTGAATGTCACTTGCACTCCTGGGGAGGAGGCAGAGGACACTGTCCCTGAGATTCCTCAGAACCGTCTGGTGGGGGGACCCACAGAGGACAGACAGACCAAAGCTTGGCCCGGTCTTCTGGAGCTTCGTGCCTCTTCCAGGAGGCCTGCACCTAAAGGATCTGGCTTTAGGAGAAGAGCTGGAGGCCAAGGAAGAGTCATCCATCCTTCCTGGGCCAGAAATTCCAGGAAAGCTTAACCTAATGGTGCCATGAGGTCTTCGTCTGGCCCCAGGACACCCCCACCTGATGAGCCAGCTGCCCTCCTCCTTCTTTCCCAGGGGCCTTGCCAGCACCTGCTCCAGATGGCCTCCAAGCCCACTGTCCTACGCAAGCTCATGACGTCAAAGTTTATCCCTCCTTTTTTTTTTTCCCCTTTTCAAAAATAAAAGACAGATAGCCTCAAAAGAGAGGCTCAGTTCCCTTGGGGAGGGGGGACAACTGCTCCCCAAGTGGCTTTTAACAAGCAGGCGAGGGAGTAGAGGCTGAGGTCTAAACCCTGAGAAAGTGAGGAGGGAGATGAGGGCGAGGGGCCCTCTGAGCCGAAGGCGGTTCAGCATCCTGACCTCGGCATGGAGTGAGCACCAGATGTTTCCAGAGGGGACAGTTCTGCTGCCAGGCTCTGTGTCCTGGAGACCGGGCTTGTCTTGGCTGGGCTCTGGTAAAATGTTGATCACACAGAGCTTTGCCAAACAGTCAGAGCTCCTTGCTGCTGTGGGGGGTCCCTACAGTGAGCTCACCTTCTTGGGGTATGCCTGGAGGAGGCTGTCTACTGTCTGGTCTTGGAGA